TCTATATATATATATATATATATATATATATATATATGCAGAAATATTGTGATATATGTTAATAACGATTTCTTTATAATTACTCAATTATTGTCGAATAAATGTAACAATAAATATATTTTAAGTGATACATATTTAACATTTTATGATATACATATTCATAGTGCTATATGAAATGCTTGTAAGGTATATAAAAAATAATGTAACACTATACATATGTCATAAACTACATTTGCATATATAAAATAAAAATACACTTAAAAAACGTTTGTGAAAACTTCTCTATTTTATATTTTTTAATAAGTTATTTCATTACATACGTCATTTTGTTTGTTTATGCCTATTTCGTTATCCCTTAATGTTTCAGTATGACATATATTACATAGATTTTGTGCTTGTCCATCTGATCGCTCGTTTATGGGTGCTTGAAACAAATCTTTATATTAGTTATATTGTGTAAAATGCAACGAGCGGATATAACACGCACCATACATGGATTATCTCTTAATTTAAAATGATATAGTTGGCGAAACCGCTGCTTTAAAATGCCAAATGCCAAATTTTCAATAATAATTCTGCACGAATTTAATTTTTGATTAAAAATTTTTTGTTTTCGTCTCAAGTATTCATCTTTATACGGAACGATTACTTGTGGTAGACATAGATATACATTATCTTCCAATAAGATGTATCTGGAACAATATTGATAAAGCTGAAATCACATTCTTGAATAATTAGCTGCTATGCTTGCTCTGATATATGTTAGGTAGGTTCATGCGTTGAGCGCGACAAGTTGTCATGCATAATTTTATTGGTTATTATAATGCATTATACCTTCACATAGATCACGTAAATTGTTATATGGATAAATTTTTGAATACTCGAGCATTATGGACTGAGCCTGTATCCGATAAAAACGTTCAAAAATTTCAAATTGTGACCAACTGTTTCTTGAATATGCAATGAAAAATACTGCTTGTGATTAATGTAAGAATCGTTTTCTACTGGTTTATCGATTTTGACATGAGATCCATCCATGGCACCTAAATAAATACATATAAGTAAAACATTTTTAATTAAATATGAATAGATATATAGATACAGTACCGATTATATAAGGAAATCCTTTCTCTCGAAGAAAGTAACTTGCAGTTTCTTTTTTTTCTTCTGGTGTTGGGAATTTTATTATGTGACATGATAAACTCCGTGACTTTTGTAATTGTGAAACAAGGTACTAATG